TAAAATCATTTTAAATCAGTTCAGGATAAGGACTTCCTAATGACAAACAAACAGTATGATATTGATTAACTTCAAGACATGTAATCAATCAAATAACATTCTATCCATCATATGAGGGGCAGATGACACTGACTGGAAACGCTCTGATTTTTTATGAAAGCTTGTTTTCACCAAATTTGTGTTTGTCCAAGGGCAGGAGAGAAAGAAGAAGACAGGAAATAAAAAACAGAACAGAAAGAGAGACAGGGGATGTAGGACAGTCAGGGAAGAAGAGTTATTGTTTGCTTGTTTAATCTAAACTGAGATGTACTGGAAATGTGTTTTGCATTTATTCTTTGGCAGTGTAAAGATGATGTTATCGTGCCTGTGAAGGTCCTTGAAATTAAATTGAGGCAGGCAGAGAAAACAGACACAGCGTCTGTAAGAAAAACAAGATGACTTAAAAATATCTTAACAAGTCATTTAATCTGGTTTTGTGTCTTAAAAATTTGAGAAAATATGCAAATATGTTGAGATATCTCCACCAGCTTCCAAAGCATTTCTCATGTTTAAAGAAATTTCATGGTGCCGGCGATGATATCTTTAAATAGGATAATATTGCTTCAAGATAATATCTCTTGATTTGTGGAAAATCCATGCAAAAAGTTGAGCTCCACTGCAATCAAGTGCAATGATCTCACCCTGCTGGAGGATAGTTCCTTCTACTTCCAGGAAAAAAATATAGACTTTTAGGAGGAGATAAAAGTTTGAATCAGATGTAAAGATAAACTGAAGGCGACGCTGTAGACTCCCATGTTGGCGGCAGAGTAATCCAGGGACCGACTGACTGACTGACAAGCATCATCCACCATCTCCCCGCCCAGCACTCAGACACGGTGCACACACTCCTCTGTCGACGCTTGTCAATCAACGTCTCCTTTGTCGGTGTCGGCCAATCCCATGTCACGGTTTCACGGGGACCGTTTGATTGACAAGCTGGGGAGCGGAGGAGCGTGGAGCTGAAGGTGGAGGGGATTCAGAGGGAGCTGGTGGCACGCTGACGTGAATGGGAGACGGTGTGGGTGTGTGGAAGTGTGTGAAGGAAGGCCTCAAACAAACGCGCCAAGGGCAAGAATCATTAACATGCAGTGGCTGGCGAGTGTGTGCACGCGTGTGTGTGTGTGTGTGTGTTTGTGCATGTTTACGTGTGTACGCTCGTGTGTGTGTGTGTTTGACAGCCAGTATGAAGGAGACGCAGTAGTAAGGCCGTCAGGCAGCCTGCCGCTTCCTGTCTGCTTTAATTGCATGTAGCCCTAGAGACTGCACACACACACACACACACACACCCACACACACACACACACGCAGACACACAGAATCCAGCCCAGGGAACCCCTCTACACAGCAGCGCTAACAAAGAGACGAGGCTTACACGGCTAAGATGGGAGCTGAACACTGAGGTCTTTCACTGAGGATGACGACGGCTCGCTGTCGAGGCTCGATAAAGACGACAGAGGAGAGAGAATCAACTGGAAGAGCTTTGGGAGTCTGAGCAGAGCAGGGCTGAGTAAACCTCCCAAGAATGAGCAACATGAATGTTTTTGTTAGCTAATAATCAGATGAATAATGCGTAAACACAGTCTTACGTGTGCATTTTAATTAGTTATTTTAATTAGAGGCTTAAAGCGAATCTCGGAGGCAAGTAACCGTGAAGATAAGTTTCTCACACTGAGGAAAAGCAAATATTTTATGTAGACAGAGGAAGGTGTACAGCTGAAATGTCAGTCTGTCATTGGGCATGTTGAATGTTAAACTTTCAGAAACAGTCTTGCTGGTTAAATCCTGTGAAATGAGCCCTTTTTCATACTCACACTTTATCTTCTTCCTCATTGGTAAACAATAGATTACGCAGAAATTAACATTATTAATCTTTACAAGTCCCCGGTATTGAGGTAAACCTCTGACGCAGCAGTGCAGTCTATTTCAGGAGTTAAAAATCCCCGGAGAAGAGCATAAAATGTAAGCACTTAGGGCTGGGCTCATTATAAAATCAATGCTCACAGGACCACTCTCATTTAAAAACATGGCGGGGAAAAGGTCAGGGAGAGAGACGGAAAAATCTCAATCTAATTCTTTGCTCAAAAAGCCACTTAATATTGGATTCTGTAAATTAAATTTCACACCCAGCTATTCCGGCCAAAGGATAATTACAGCAAGCAGAGGGGGGAATGGAAATGACTTGAGGTGGAAAAACCTGTTGGATTGGTGATATCGCTTCATGTGTCAAACAACAAATTATAGCAGGGGACTAAGTACAGTAAGCAATCACCGCACAGCATCAACCTAGTTATAACATGACCATATAAAATAAAAACTGTGATTGGGGGCTGAGTGTCACTGACAATCCCGCAGTAAAGGGTTTCTCTCCTTTTCACCCCACCAACAGTCTCAAAGGAAAAGCTTTCAGTCACCAACACTGGAGCTGCTACACCTAAAGTAAAGCAAGGCACAGTATCTGAAGCATTATCTAAAAAGAGACTCAGCACATTCAGATTTACACACACATGCAGGAAAAAAAGAGTGTTAATATGTGTATCTACATAACAGAGAATAAATGAAAAACCTGGCACAAATCAAATAAATTTAAGGTAGAGCGTCTTCAGCTTTGCTACTCTGACGTACTTCCTAGTGAAACAAAATATCTGAGGGGTGTACAGTTACAGCATGGATTTAAACCAAATCCTTTGCATTTGATTGGACTGCTAAAAAGTGGGCAGGCTTAGAGTTGAGCGTGATACGGAGCTACAGTGGAGACTGCTGCTGCTGAGGGGACTGTCGGCTCCACACACACTTCCCTCGGCGTTACATCAGGAGGAGGACATGAGCGAACTAGACCTCTACTACATTTGTTCGGAAATTAAAACAAAGGTTTGGCCCACTGATATCCAGACACACATCTCTTCAAATCTCTCCATATTGATCTGAAGCAAACCTGTGAACACTGATTGTGCAGGCCACAATCTTTGATCACACATAAACAAATGCGCACGCATGTGCGTTAAGCACAATGCATGGAAGTACATGTGTGGGCATGTACACATACACACACACTGACCTCATACTTAAATAACACAGTCATTGTTAATTGCTTTTTGTCTTTGTTCTCATTGTGGTCTCCTATTTGACTTAGTCTTGTATTGTATTGTTGTGTTGTACTGAATCACTCCATGCTCAGTAATCTTACACTTACTCTTTTCATTCTAAAAGCCTAACCAGGGACAGGGGTTGCAAATTAGCCATGGCTAGAAACCTGTATGCATTGCATCTACTTTGTATTTTACATATAAAGCAATGCCCCATGCATTTGTCCTTGTCAAATAAACAAATAAATAAAAATGAATAAAGTTAGCAAGCTACCATTAGCAACTCTTCAAATATCCTTGACTAGCCTACAACCCACAAAGGGTTAAGTGCAGCTTTATAAAACTGGTGTGGCTAGCTCAGGGGTAGGCAACCTGCAGCTCTGGAGTTGCATGCAGCTCTTTTGACCCTCTCCATTAGCCCCCTGTGGCTTTGACATAAATTGAATGTTTCATCACCTAAAATGTGGAGTCTCCCTAACATGGCAAGCAATGGATTCCAAATCCAAAAAAGGAAAAGTGTTGGAGGAAATTAGAGGATTTAATAGTGTATGGATAGATTCATTTGCCAAAGCTGCAAAGTTGAAGTACTAAATAATTATAAACAGCCAACTGCAGAGTAGCCACCTTGTAGTAAATCATATTAATGAATGCTCATTAAAAGCTATTCATGATGTTGATGGGCTGATTTAGACTTAATAGGCTGTTACCTTTATTCAAATTTGTTTTGTGGCACTAGACAGATTTTTTCTTTTTTTTTTTGGCCGATAATGGCTCTTTTAATAATAAAGGTTGCGACCCCTGAGCTCAGGATGAGTCTACAAACATCTAAAACCATTTAACCTGGCTTTACAGTGAAAAAATACAGGGATTTTGATGTCAAAAATACTCTGATACAGAACATTTTTTTCATATAGTTCACATATAACAAGAGATAAATTATAATTAACAAAGAAATACGGGATTAAATATAGTAAAATATATTTTAATGTCATGGGGGAGTTTAAACACATTCTACTGGCACAGTTCTACTTGATTTTTATGAAGCATACATGCACTACTTGATAATTTGCAGGATAGGACAGAAACATATTTCTGATATGCTGAATTATGTTTTGTTTTTCAGACTTGCCTCCTATCTCAGCTTCCCCACCCAGTAAATTATAAGATATACAAGATATACGATTTTTATTTCTAAAAATTAGTCAATTAAATCAAGGGAGAAAAAAATTACTCTTTGGTTGAGCTTGTCACAACCATCGACTAAATAAAAATAATGGACGTAGCTATTGTGATGTCATGCATTGGTTTGTGGACTTCCAGTATGATGCCACAAATTTGGCATTTGAGCAGTAGCAATCTCGCATTTTTGTTGCCCAAAGTGACGAGAGGGTGGAGCGGCGGAAGAGTGAGGGGTGGATCTAAATGAGGACACAATCTACAGACAGCCTGTCACTCAAAGTGGCCATGCTCTTAACTATGCATAACTTTAAGCCTTAATAAAATTGAAACCGGTGAGTTATATAAAAATTCACCCCCCTACAGTTGTCATGAAGGGGGAAATGAGCTGTAGAGACCAAAACTGGTTTTGTAACAGGCTGTAAACATGTTTATTTCTCCTGTGAAGTTGGGCATTTTAACATGGGGGTCTAGTGGCCATTAGAAGAACTGCAGTTTTTGGCACTTCTTTTTTCAGCCCTGAAGGTTGCCGCTTGGTCACGACCAGTAAACAAATGCAATGCATTACTTCATTTTAAGGGCTCACAAGCACAGACATTTGGGAACTGCTCTACACCAGCCCAATCCTGCATCCTCTATCACAGTTACAAAAACATCATCTTCTCTATTCAGTTTCACAAATAGCACAGCAGCACCTCCTACCTGATAGGTGGCGGTAGCATCGCTGCCAGTATCTGCTCCCAGATTGGTGAGCTTCTCTTTCAGCTTGTGGTGGGAGCGGTGGCGGAGGCAGTAGACCACTGTAGAGGCCAGCAGCACGCCAACAATGCACAGGATAGACACAATGGTGAGGATGAAGAACTTCGTCGACTCGGCCTGGCTGTACTTGGTGGGGATCTGGTTGATCTGGCTTTCCTGTGGGCCACAACAGAACAAATAAAAAAAGAGTTAATCATTTGTTTCTATTCTTATTTTTTTATCTGAGGTGAGTGGTTCCCTGTGCAGCTCAATAGGTAGAGTGTGGTACTCTCAAAGGTGAGATAAGAGTTTTGATTCATCCACCATGCTAAAAATGCCTGTGCTCGTGATGGTGATAGCAGGTGGAATAAACTGCAGGGGTGTAAAACGATGTACCTAAAAGTATGCAGGCTTTCATTCTGGCCAAAAACAACACCAGGTGATTTTTTTTCTTTTTGGATCAATCAGACAAGAGGAACTAATCTGCAAAATCATCTAGTGTTTGATTGGAACAACCCTGCAGACTCTCAGTGCTTTGTGGCACATGGTTTGATACCCCTGGATTAAAGCATCCACCAAACGGTCCAAAAAACAAGCCACTGAAATCCTTCATTTGACAGTAATCTATCTGAACCCCCTTAAAAGTGTTAATTGCTTTTGCTTCCAATGATTTTCCCCCAAAAAAACGTTTGAGTCTACACATCAGTGGATGAAAGTGTAAATCACATGGTTCTTTTATTTCCTTTTTTGGACAGACATAAATATGCATATCACTGTGCTCGATGAAAAGTATAATCACAAGCGTTTGTTCCACCATCTGTGCCCAGGAGTGCATAGAATGCATAAACTCCTGTTTAGCAAAGCAGTCTGAGTGTGTCTCGACAGCTTGACACACCGTTTGCTATATCGGAGGAATTTTCTACCGTTGTGAACGGGAGGCAACAGACGTTCTGCCGTCTTGAGCAAGTGCCTTGCCAATTTTGACCTCGGCGGCACTTTAATCCAGCGCGTGAGAACCAGATCCTTCAGCAAACAACTGGAGATGAAAGATTTCTTTTCACACGGTCTGCTGCTTAAGATAACACAATGGACACATACTGTATGATAAAAGTCTCTGTTTGAACTGCTTCTTGAGTGTGTAAGAACCGCCACGGCTATAATTTGAGCGAGGGGAAGTAATTCTTATTGAGCTGCGGCTCCAACCGCTGCTTGCTGTTCATTTTGAGACACCAGCGAGCTCAAGATAATGGGCCTGTTGCGTTTTACCTGACTACTAAGAGTTAACAATAGGCACCATAATTCCCCATGATTATACACTGCGTAATGATCTTGACAACAAAGAGCAAAGGCAAGAACCAAAAGGAGAAGAGCTACAAATTGCACTGCCAATGACAAGGCCTACAATTCCCTCTGACACAGAATTATCAGAAGAAATCAATAGTGAAAAAAAAAAGGTTTTCTTGACTCATTTCTGCTTGGAAACAAGAGTTTTCTCACATCTTTGCAGCACATTAAAAGATAAATTCCCCTTTTTTACTGGTACAAAAATATAAACGCTTGCTATAGCTCATCATTAGCTTGCCCTGATAGCAATATAATGCTGCATGAAGCTTGTATGGTATTATTTTTGTGCCAGAAAAAAATGCTCTCAGCCTCACAGACAGGCAGCAGGCTTGTCTCGAGGGTAAGAAAGAAAAAGGGGGGTAAAAAAAAAAAATCCCTGTCCCTTGGTGGTAGAGGTCACAGAGATTAGGCGAGGTGCGGCGTGGTGAGTTAATGGAAAGGAGGCTTTGAAAGCGGTAGGGAGAAAGGGGGCAGCCTTGTCGAATCCCTCCTGCCTGCCTGTCAGCACAGAGAAACCCTGAAACCCTGGGAGGTGGGAAAAGGACCGCTCTACCCTGCACACGGATTGTTCTGGAATTCTTGTGAGGTTTTAGCGCGTGACCCCCCCCCCCCAACTCTCTACTACCAACACCCTCACCACTCGATGATGCCCCCCCCCACCTCCTTGCCACCCCCACCCCCTATGATTGCATTCATTGCTGCCTCTGCATTCAGCACCTGATAAAGAGTGCCTGCAGAAAGACCCACAATGGGGGACAACAGTTGTCCGATGCTTTGTGGGGTGTCCAATTTGCTTGGGGAGCTCTAAGCCGTACTGTAAAAGCTGGTTGCATAGTAATGTGATGGCGCTGAAAGGAAACAGTGGGCGTCTCTGACTGGAGCGCCGCACTAAAGACCATTCTCTCAGTGCTAGGGAAAAAAAATATAATAATAAAGTGGAACAAAAAATTGTGAGAAATCCAGCTCTGGAGTACAGTACGTATAAAAGATTTATCTACTAGTAACCGCGAGTTACTACTGAGGCTGTTCATGAATCAGTAATAAACATAATGCAGGGTTTATGTTAGCTTTGTATGGCTGCGGATATTAATATTGCATTAGACATCCGTAAAAGCAGATACAATTCATTGTAGTTTGTATTTTTGTTAATGTTTCTTTTTATTAATGCGGTCTTGATGTGAAATATCAGCTGCTGAAGAAGCTTCATAAACAAAAGTAGCTGAGCAGTAGCCTGTACGTGTTGTAGGCTTGGCAAGGCCATTAATAATGCATTACTGCTGATTCCACATGCTTCCACTGCAATCATCTTTTGCAAATTTTTTATTTTTTTTTTCCAAACCACGGATCAAATAACTTCATTTGTCATTTTAGTCCCCGAGTCATCTCATTGTTTTGTCAAATTAAGTTTCATGGAGAGGGATTGCATCTTGCTCGGCTAGTAATGGCCCATAATTCAAGGCTCTAACTGTAACAGCTCAGTCATCTTTCACGGGACAGATGCTGGCGTTTTGCTAAGCACTCGCCCCCCCCTCCTCACACACACACACACACACTGATTCTACCTCCCCCCTGGCCTCTTTATCATGGCTGCCTAGCATGTCTGTCTATTGATTCAAACAAATGTAGCCTGACCCCACCTGCTTAATCAAGTTTGGTTGCAGTTGTTAGTAACTGTAAAGGGGCGGAGGAGTGTGTGTCGTTGGGTGAGAGTGAAAGTGAGAGAGAGAGACTTGGGGCTGTATGACTTGTTAGATTACAGCTATGAAAAAAAAAAAGATCAGCCGTTCTGCTCGCGTCGCAGAGGCAGATGTAGCAGAAATTTGCAATGATTGAAAATTAAATGTTTGCTCGGGATGGGAGGCGGAACGTTCATGCATGAGCCGGCGCACGCAGTCATCACTGTGCAGAGGACTGTGTAACCTTTTCAGTAACGCAGCATGAAACAGAACGCTTGGAAATATTGAGCAAAGCGTTGAATACCTACATCTGCATAGCGATTCTTATTCTCGCCCTAAGTGTCACCGACACTCTGTCTCTGATAATAGGAGGTTATCTGCACGGCTCTGCAGCTCTGAGGCCTGTCCTGACTCTCCCTCCTGTGGCTTAACACTTTCAATCACATTACATGTTGAGGGCTTGATATAGAGAGCTGCGACCGCTAAGGAGAACTGCAGTTCAGCGGAGAGAATTAAAGGAAATTTGACGTTTGTGTTGCTGCTATGATTATAGGTTAAAAGAAATAATTTGGGACAATAATCAGTACGACTTTGATATTGATTTGGAAGCTAAAAGGAACACGGCCAGAAAGAAATAGCACTCCAGACTGCAATCCGGATCATTCCTGGCTCAGATGTCAATTTTTTTATCGCATGATGCAAGAAAAAAAAAAAAAAAAACACAGAAAATCCAGTTTGTTTCTGGAGGAAAATCAGACGTTTCGATCAAGTCTATTTCAGAGAGCGGCAGGAAAATGAAAGGAAAATATTGTCTCCCCAAAGGCATAGGGGAGAAGGGAGTTCCTTTCATGCCTCCACCTCCATTGTCCATCAGCGATTGTACTTGCAAATTTTTCATTTCACATAGGCAAACGTGATTTGACATACAGTGTGCAGCTCCTCCTGACTGAGTATTTTTGAAAAGCATTAACATAGCTCCGTCAAAGATGCTGGCTGGCTGGCTGTATACGCTGCTGGGTTCAGCCCTTTTCAGCAAATATCAGACACACTCCCTACAGACAGACAGACAGACAGACAGACAGACAGGCGTCTTTGAGCAGGAGGGGGAAAGAAAAGGAACCCTCAAAAAGAGAGGGAAAAGAAATGCGTCATTTTCAGAAAATTTTGGAGGGTTTTTTATTTCTCGTCTGGTGATTTTTTGATTCAGTTTTGCGTTAATATTGTGTGTGATGTGTGGGTAGCTAATTTGTCTACTTAAATTTGTCTTACTACTTAAGAAAATGTCACTTGAAGCAATTAAGAAATAAGAATGAGGTGAAAACAGTTTGAAAAAGTGTAGGATGCTTATAGTAGAAATATATGTGTGTGTGTGTGTGTGTGTGTGTGTGTGTGTGTGTGTGTGTGTTTTTGGTGGATTTTAGATGGAGGTTTGGTAGTGGAGAGGTTAGGTCTCCTGGTTGGTGTGTGTGTGTGTGACAGGGTGTGTATGTGTATGTGTGTGAAGGGGGGGGAGGGGGGGGTGTGGATTAGCCAGGCTCCCATAGACAAAAGGCAGATGGATTTGCACGGCTCTGGCTTATTCAGAATGGGTGAAAAAAGGTCAGAGGGAGAGCGGCGGCCGGCTATTGTTTTCTTCCACGACGACTGCTGTAGGAAACAAAGATCTGTCCCTCACCTCTGATTCATCCTGGGCCTTTGAAAAACTTCAGCCGGGGTTTTAACAAAACCTTTTAGCAAACAGAAACGCACCGTAGACACACATGTTCGGACATAAGCGTATACACACACACACACACACACACACACACACACACACACACACACAGCTGCACATGCATGTGAGTAGTTGTATCTGTGTGCGATATGCATACACACTCTGGAATATTTTCACATTTGATACACTCACGTCTGCAGGTGCACACTTGTACACACTTGCATGTAATCGTGCACACACCCACACAGACTCAAACACTGTACACGCTTGTGCCCGTGTGCACGCTGCACCCACACAAATGCACATCCACGTAAGTCCTCACACACCTATTTGTAAAAAACCCCAACAACATGCTATAAAACACCAAACTTTTGCTCACCGATATAGACTTCTATTTATAAATCTAGCACAAGGACTGTTAATTTCACTTTTTATATTTTTCA